TCACCCCGGCGCAGAGCGGCGAGTGCCGTGGGGCGTAGGGACCATTCTCCAGGTCGCCACAGCTCAGTGGCACACAGCGTTTCTATCTTAGGAATCTGTCTTTCAGGCAGAAGGGGTCTGGGCGTGGGCTGGGGACCCCCACGTGTCCCCGGAGGCCGCTTGCCTTCCCTGAGCCTCCGCCCCCTTCTCCCTCAGGAGGGGACAGCGGTGTCCAGCCCCGCTCCTTCTGCAGTGCCCGTGGGGGTCACGACCTGGTGACATGGGGAGCCCCTTCAGGCAGAGCGCTTCCCGGGTCCCCACCCCGCCCTGCTGTCTCCGGTCCTGGAGGATGATAGTCAGTTGGCGCCTAACCTTTACCTTAAAGGGAGAGAACGACTTCTCAGCATCTACGCCGCTCTCCAAAGTGAGAGAAGCAACAAGTGGACAGCCGAGCAGCACCTGACTTTGCACAGCCCTCTGCTTTTCTGACTTAAGTGACCGGCCGGCTCGCATAAGTCTATGGTTCTCTAAGTGCGGCCCCCAGCTTTGGGGCGTCACCATCCCCCTGAGAAGTAGTTAGAAATACAAACGCTTGGCCCCCTCCCAGGCCCGCTGCAGCAGAGACTCTGGGGCGGACCGGCCGCTGCATCTCACCGAGCCCGGCCCGGTGGCTCCGATGCACCGTGTCTGGGCCACCTCTGCTCTAAGGGTCTGCCTCGGCCTTGGGGAGGGGGGACGGGGCTGTCAGGCCACCTCCAGGCTGAGCAGCACCCAGGGGTGGACGCAACATCACTCACGTCATGCCGAAGTTTCCCAAGGATGGTCGGGAACACGGCCAGGGGCGCTTCTGCCCCCGAGAAGCCCACCTTGCTGAAGCCGGAGCCGTAGTCACAGACGAGGGGCAGACTCATCGCGCTGTGCATGACCTGGACGGGGCTGCGGGAAACACAGCAGAGTTAGCCGTGCCATTTGCGAGGTACTCACCCTGGGGCAGGCGGTGCCAGGCGTGGCCTCAGCTCTGAGCTCACGGGGCTCGCCGTGTGTCCCTCGCATGGCCACGCAGGTGGCTCCCCACTTCCCTGTCTTGAGGGTGAGCCCCCATCTGCACGCTGTGGGCAGTTTGCTGACACAGGGCTGCCCAGGAGAAGAGAGGTCCCGGGGTCAGACTTCGCTGTGACACCGCCACCCACCCCCGTTCCTGTGGTCACTTTGGTGGGGCCATCTGAAGCAGCCCCTTTGCCAGCCTTTGGGATAGGGTCTTTGGGCCGGGGCTGGGAGGGGGCCCCAGTAGGAAACGGCGGTCACAGCCAGGACCCCTTCTCCCCAGGTCTGTCCCTGCTGGGGACACCGCCAGCCTCCTGCCCTGTGGAGGCCGGCCCACCTTCCACTCGCATCTAGGCAACTTCTCTCATGTTTTTGCAAGTTTTAAAAATCAGTGGCCCACGACGTGAAGGAATCCACGTTCTCTTTCAAATATGGTGTTTAACAAATCTTTGTCTTCACTTTAAAAGCGATTTTAGTTCTTTTTCAGATAAAGAAAGACTGCAGGTTCACGACAGAAAACAGAGAAAACTATGAGGAAAAATAAGACGCTCCCCAGATCCCGCCAATCATAGATGGCCTTTGTCGGCATGTGTGTGTGTGGGGGGGTCTGCGCGTCAGCCCCCACGTACGACACGGGGCCACTCTCCGCCAGGCAGGCGCGGGACAACCTGGCGGATGGCGAAGACGGGCAGCGACGTGTCCAGCACGTGCTCACATCGCACATCGAAAGCTACGTGAGCAGCTGTGCGTCAGACTTCCCGCCGAGCATTAAAAACGTTCCCCGTCATCCACGTCACACGAAACATTTTCTGTCACCGCAGGGCCCGCCGCGTCACGCTGCTGTGACTCCCTTACCCACGCCCCATTGTGGGACGCCGAGAGCCACTCGTTCCTTTTGGGTTTTGTAAATAAGCTTGTGAGGAACCTCCTTGTTCACCATCCTTCGTCCCGAATTCTGGGTTAGCTCGTTACACAGACACCCTTACGATGACCAGCGGGAAGACCAAGAATTTTTAAAGGGTCCGTGACCACGGGGACAACTTGCTGTCCAGAAACGTCGGCTGGTTTATGGCTGTCACGTCAGGGCACGTCTCCCGCTGTGCTCCGCAATGTCCACGTGCCCCGGTGTCCGCGACGAGGCACGAGCTCCTCCAGGCCTCTCTACAGCACCCTGTGGCCACCCCCGGACACTCAGCTCACATCTTCCGAATCGCTTTGGGATCCAGGTCCGTCCTTTGAGGGGCACTTTGCAATCTCTGCTTTGGAGTTTTTGTGGGGGTCCCGTTTGCCTCTGTGCTGGTTGGGCATCTCCAGTCTTGCATGGCTTCTCCAAGGCCAACTTTTCTGCCTCTTCCCTTCTCCCTCACAGGATGTGGGGGCACTGGGCTGCCACAGTAAAGTCAGGTTCATGGGGCTTTGCAGTGCAGGAAGCGTGGGTATGAACTTGCTCACCTGTTCACGCCAAGGTGGGGAGCAGTGTGGCAAGTATCACCACCCCCATCATCATCATCACCATCACCATCACCACCACCATCATCACCATCATCACCACCACCATCATCACCATCATCATCACCATCATCATCATCACCATCATCACCACCATCAACGTCACCATCACGATCATCACCATCATCACCATCATCACCATCAACACCACCACCATCATCATCACCACCATAACCATCACCACCATCATCACCATCACAATCACCACCACCATCATCACCACCATCATCACCATCACCATCATCACCATCATCACCATCATCACCATCATTACAACCCTCTTGATAAGAAGGGATTTGTCCCGTGTCT